ACACACACACACACACACACACACACATATTCACAGATTAACACACGGTTTTTTTATATCAGTATAAAAACATGGAAACGTGGTGTGACTGATGATGACGTCAGCTCAGATCGTAACAGTAATTTCCGATTACGATATTAACCGATATCGATATAGTCCTGCTAATATTTCTTTATTTATCAGTACAAACCACTGTACGAGTTCCCCAAACAATCCACTGATTATTAAAATAGATTAATTAAATAAGCTGCAATGCTGCCATCTAGTGACTTTCACTTTAATATACAGCCGTTTTTCCCCAAAACTATTTTTAAGGCACACAATTTGGTGAAACCCAGACATGACGTTATGTGGTTTTCATTATCAGAGAAAAAAACGATAACGATTCTTACTGATATTACATAATTATGCTAACATCGGGCCGATAATATCGGACATCCGTAGTAAGAGCAAAGCTTTTTTTTTTTTACAGAAACTCCAACCGGAGGAAACGTCCAGCTCTACCGTCCTGAGTCGTGGAGTAACATCTCAAACATTTCTGGGGAGCTCTACAACACGACGGATTTGGAAAATATTTTTAAAAATGTGGAATAATTTCAGATTGTTCAGGAGTGAACGAACTCTGGACGACCAGGAATCTACACACCGACGTTCCGCTGCTCCAACAAAACAACTCACATGAACCCTGCTACAAAAGTGTCCGACAGGCCCGGTGCCCCTCCCCCGTACGCCGAGCTGGTCTCACCCAGCCACACGGACTTCCCCGGAGACGCCTTCTTCACCTTCTGGAAACAAACCACACACACATTCACGTTGGTGACGTTGGTGTGTGTGTGTTTTCAAACACCAACATCTGGACCGTACCTGAAGAACCTCCTTGGTCTTCACGGCCAACGTGTCCAGAATCTCAGGGTCTATGAAGTCCTGCAGGGACGTGTCTCTGCCGTTAACGTAGTAACTGAAGAGGAACCACAGAAGAAGAGATCAGGCCACAGCGCCATCTCTGTATGGATGACTTCATTACAGCTGAACTCACTGGTGCCAGGTACAGGCATCAACGGCATCAGCTCCGCTCCGCAGGAACCTGCACCAGGACGAGGGACACAGGACACTCCGTTAGTGGACAAGAACGTTCTGCTGTTCGGAGACGGTGGTTTTCCTCCGGAGCAAAGTCCAAAAAACAAATGTCGTAGTTTATGACTTTGACGTATGGAATTCTTAGTTCGGATTTTCCTGAGTGAACAATTTTCTTACAGAATAAAAATGCTGAATTTCTTAATGGACTTTCGTACGACGTGATCTAAAAAAACAATTCTTTATTGTTTTAAGTGTTATTGTCAAAACACTTAATTTCCTACCAATACCGATGTAGTGGGGCAGTGGTGCCCTAGTGGTTAAAGACGTGAAGTGACGCCTGCTCACGTTCATTACCATTTTTCTCCAAAACTATTTTTACGGCACGCATCATTTGGTGAAACCCAGGCGTTGCGTCATCGAGTTTTCTTCATCGTAGAAAAAAACCCGATGATGATTCTTACAGATATGACATCATTATGCTAACATCTGAGGACCATGACATCAGCGTGACCTCTCACCCCTGTAGGATGTCCACCCTGTGATCCCTTGGTTGACCCACGTCCGGTCCGTACAGCTGGCTGTTGTGGTAAAATTCTGACTGTGACATCATCTCTCTGAGTTTGGTGAAGTCTCGTCCGAGCTGAAACCCGTCCACACGGAGCCCGGCCTTCTTCTTGTAACTGTTTGGTTCTGAAACCACAAATAAAAAGACTTCCTGCAGAGATCATGTGACACTACAATTATTATCATTATTATTATTATTATTATTATATATCAAGGATCTCCGATATCGTCCAAACACTTAATTTCTGATTCCGATATCAACCAATATCAATATAGCGGGGCAGTGGTGCCCTGGTGGTTAAGGAAGTGAAGTGCAGCCTGCTCACTAAGGTGATGCTGCCATCTAGTGGCTTTCACTTTCACATACAGCTATTTTTCCCCCAAAACAATTTTTAAGACACACATCATTTGGTGAAACCCAGACATGTTTTATCGGGTTTTCAATATTCGGAGGTAAGTTTTATCGGGTTTTCAATATTCGGAGGAAAAATCGATAACAATTCTTACAGATATTATGCTAATATTGGACCAATAATATCGGACAGCCCTGTAATATATTTTTTCAAACTTATTCCCGTACCGTTTCCCAGCTCCCAGGACATGTGGTAGCGCCTGGACTCGCAGTACCGCAGCAGTGAGCGAGCGTTGCTGCCGTTCCAGGTGTTGTCGGAATTTCGGAGCAGCGCGTTTAACCCAAAAATCAGATCCAAACCTGAGCAGTTGGCGAAGGCGTGCAGCACGTCCACCGTGTATTCTGTGACAGGAAGTGTCGGAGTGAGAGGTGACCTGGAGAGCAGCCGCCGTCGTGTCTGTTCCTCCTACTAGTTTAAATGTTGACCTGTGAACTTGACCCGTCTGTACTTCCTCCTCACGTCCTCTTTCATCAGAATCATCTGCTGCTTGGACAACGCCCTCTTCAACCTCCTCTCCAACCACTCAGGCAGCTCCAGCTGGTCACATGACACATGATCTGATGGAGACTCACAGAGGGGAGGGGCTTAAATTAGTCTTAATGACTTTAATTTTCCACATGTGCTAACAATCAGGAAGTTTCACTCCTGAATTAGGAAAAAAAATAATAAAATGCAGAGCGAACGATTGTTGTTAATTCAAGTTAGTTTTACAAAATATTTAAAAATTTCTGTTTTCACATAAATCTAAGAGTGAACGTGAACGTTACCTGCCGGGACGAATGGACCGAGCTGATTGGACGTCTGATGAGTGAAAACCATGAAGTCCTGACTGGTTCCACCAAACCTCAGAAAGGCTGGACTCAGAGCTTTGGCCAAGAACCGTAGTTTGGAGGAACTGGTCACAGAAAAAAACAAACAAACAAAAACAAATATCAATCTGCAAAACGGTGACTTTTAACTTTTGTCTGAACGACGGTGGGTTTGTTCAAGATCTGAGGCATTTCAGCCTTTTTGTTTGGTAGTTTAAAAATTTTAAGGGTACTTTTTAAAATAAGAAACTAATGTTTATAAAACTGTGGTAAATATATGATCCAATTGTAGGGCAAAAAAAAACAAAAAACTTAATTTGGATAAAGCTTTTTGGAAAGATTCACCTGGAAAAAAAATTGTAGGGCAAAAAAAAACAAAAAACTAGCTTTTTGGAAAGATTCACCTGAAAAAAAACAAAACAAAATTAAAGTCCTTATGTTTCTGTTGTTTTAATGTATTTTTCAACAACAATAAATGAAATAAACATGTTTAAATCATCAAGTTTATGAGGTTATGAAAAGTGAACGGAACAAACGTGTTCTTTTTTTGTTGTTGTTTGTTTTTTGAGTGGAACACACACACACACACACACACAGGTACACGTACTGACCGCAGCAGGGACATGAACTTCTCCTCTGAAGCCAAACTTGCGTCAATGGTGACGGACAGAAATCGCGGTTCCACTCGGTGAATCACCGCGGATAAGTCCATGTCCACAGCCCAGGAATGAGGCTCCGACTCGGTCAGACTGTCGTTTGTTGGTCCCCGGAACCGGACTCCGTGGACTCCGGAGCAGAGGAGCAGCAGCAGCTTCATCATCATCATCATCATCATCATCATCACAGCCCTGGGACACTGACCGTCTGTGGTCACCAACATCTTCTTCTTCCTCTTCTCTGTCAAACTGACACTGAGTCACGTCCGGAACGACAACACGTCCGCTGCAAAACTGTTTGAATACGGAGTGAATGTGGGCGGGGCTAGGACGATGCGAGAATTGTAAAAAAAAAAAAACTCCTGAGAAATAAAATAAACTTAATTTGAAAGGATGTACTTTACCGTTACTGTGGTATTATTGTCGTTACATTAGAGATTAAATTGGTCTCAAAATATTATGTAGACGATATTATCGTTTACCTGAAACAATTAGTGAGAAAATTTATCATCCAGAAAAAACTTGTCACAGTCACGTGACTTCATATCGACGAGATTATTATTAAATTATTAAACTAGATTAATAAAATTAAGACTAATATAAATTAACAATGTTGCCATCTAGTGGCGTTCACCTTCATACACAGGCACTGCGTTTTCGGGTTTTTATTGTCAGAGGAAATATTACAGATATGACATAATTATGCTAATATCTGACGCCCGTAGTTGGATTTTTGATGCAGAAGTAAAAAAAAAAATTAAAATAAAAAAAAAATCACGCCGATTCATCGGCACAAATTATTTAATACGATCTGTATTCCAAACCAAAGAAACAATAAATAGCCATGATGAAGCTGTGTGTAAAGAATAAATAAATACAAGTCAGGGGCGGGGCTCGGAGGGCAGGTCAGGGGGCGTGGTCAGCAGCTCGTCCACTTCCTCCTGGAGAGCTGCGGCCTTTTCATTCAGGAGCATCTGAGACACAGAGACACGTCGTCCGGAGACAAAGTGTTAATAATGACGTCGCCACCTGTAGGCGCAGTGACCACAACATAACGAACGGAAACTCACTTTAGCTGACGCCACGATCTGATTGGCCTGCTTCTTGTACAGGTTTTCGATGGTCCTGGACAGAGCTCCGGGGTCGGCGTTCGCCAGGTGTGTTAGCGTCTTGTAGCCGGCGTTGTACAGCTGCTTAGCTCTGGACTGGGATTCAAGTGGGAAAAAAAAAACCGGACATGTTGAGATGAGCCAATTAGACTGCAGTGTGTTAGCTAGGACTTTTTTTAAGCTAGGACTTTCACGTCACTACTGTTACCGCAATGATAGAATTTCACTGCATTAAAAATATATAATAATATATAAATACATAAAATATAAAAAAGCAACAGCACAATATTAGAAATACTGAATATGATGTGGAATAGTTAAAATAAAAAAATTACAGCGCCCCCACTGGCCAGGGGGGGTTGTGTTGGAAAAGACTGTATAAATTGTTTGTAGTTATACCTAGTGGCCACAGGGCGGCATCGTTCAGCAGTTGTAGCGCTACATGTCTGTGTGTTTATCAACAAACACAGGCGGTAACGCACTCTTCAACAGTAATAATAAATTAATAAAAATCGTCACAGCTACTCTTAATAGACGTAACGACCTTAACTACCGACACTCACAGTTGGACTAACCAACACCGTAGCAGCAAGCTCCTCTACTTTGTAGGTGGCCCTTTCCGACAGCAGGGGGCACTGTTCTCCACCGAATTTATGTTGTCTTTCAAGACAAGGGGCTGGATTCGATTCAGAAGTTTGTTGAATTGATATTTAATTTTAGGCTTGCAATACATTGATTGAGTCGATATTTTTACCCTCCCAACCCCCCCCCCGTGG